GCTCTTAAACTGGATTTTTTTTTTTTTTCATATATTTGTCACAAACCTGTAATCGAGATTTCAGTTAATCATACTTTGCCTAACTGAAGTGACATGGGTGAGGCTGCGTATTATAATTTGTTATCTTGTGAGTAAAAAAACTAACACGAGATGGTTTAGTTCACCCACTAAACGATAAATCTTATGTCGTCCCTCGTTGATTTTTGTAGGACTTTGGCTACTTTCGTGATAATTAATGATGTAACATGTTCCCTATCCTAATAAAAGGTTCAATAAATATGTATTAAATGTTCAAGAAAAACTCACTTGACTAGGTATGTGTCAAGTTGAGTTAGCTGAACTTGAGAGCACTCAACCGAAAGAAATGGTAGTTTTATGTTGCTTTTTTATTTATTTATTTTTTTCGAAGACAAATAGCTGAAATCAATCAACTACTAAACCATCAAAATTTTCAAATATGACGTTGTTCAAATGAAAACCAAGTCTTGGCGTGAGAACTGTGAAAACCGTTAATTTTTACTTGAACTAGTACTATGATTGATTGTGTTTTAGTGATGTTGTTGTATGAAATTTAACAACTATAACACGATGTAACTAAAGCATAAAAAGTGAAGATTTTGTATTATTTTTGAGTATTTGCTGAGTACAATAAGTCGGTATATGTGTCAACCGAACTTATTTGCATGTGTGTATTCAATGCACGTAAAAAAGGATCTTCGTACAATAATAAATTCTGCTATTTATAGTGGCGTGTGTTTGACTTCTGGTACGAGGTAGATACGATCGCATTTAATGTGGAACAACTTTTTGAAGTGGTTTGTTGGTCAGTGGGCCGGGGGAACAATAATGGTTGTATATATGGCACGTGGTCCCATTATGCGGACACCTTGTCACCTGCTTTGAGATTCGGTCATGTCGGACTTTGGATTGCAGGTTGTACCTTCGAGAAGGAATGGATGGCGTATGAATGGGAATCATTGGTTGCGAATGAATTTGTGAAGAATTCTGAGTTCGGCGCTTGGTCGACCGATGAGAAGATGAGCCTGCGGCCTTTCAATATTTTAAAAACTTTGCCACTTATCATGTCTCTACCGCTTCCAAGTTAAGGTCGTGGATACTCTCTGACATATCGAATAGCCGCAAAAGGATTTATATCTTAGAAATTTTAAAGATCTCATTTTAGAAAATTTACAAGCTAAGAAGACAAGAAAGAAGAGCAAAAAATGCCTATTTATGGCCTAAAAGAGTAACCCTCAAAACTAAACTGAGAGCGTCAGTAATCGAGAGGGTGTACACGTACTCGTCCTCAAAATGTGCCACTTGTTCCATCAAAGAAACCTCGCAATGTCTCTTTTTAAATTGCCACAGATAAAACAAGAACTGCATTGTGATCCCGCTTTGACGATATTCGATGCCAATCCAACATGGTCGACCATTCAAGAATTGACGGAAATTGCACGCTGTTGTGTGTGTGTGTGTGTTATAAAAGTATCCTCAGTAAGACCATATGATTAAGACGAGAACATGACCCATTACCACCTACCATCTTATATCCAAGCAAAGCCCAAGAAAAGTAGTGGACCTCCACATGATCGGCCCAACAATGAAAAGACAATTTGTTGATCGCCCAATCGTCAAGTATTGAGAATTGTCGATCCCGTCATTGTCGATCGCTCTGCAGCATATGAATGCGTTCTGACAGGCCAAACTCGTAAAGCCGCTGAATACCGTGAAACCACCGCCCAAAGGGTCTCGTGTCGTCATATTTTGCAGGTCAGAATAATATACGTCTCGTCCTCAAAAGATGAACTTTTGCATGGCACAACGCCTCCTTCGCTTAGCTATCAAGGTGGCAAGTAGCTATAATTACATGTCATTTTTTCTCAATGATAAAGGTGGCCGTGGCTCTGAAACTGATCATTTTTAGCAAGCAAAACAAACAGAGAAAAAATTGCAAGATACACACATACATATTAGCAAACAACATACCACTGCAGTTTTAGCAACATACGAGCATACACTAGCTCGAATCACAGCTACTACTGTAACAAAAAAACCCCTCTTTGCTAGTCACATTCTCAGAGAGTCCTTCCCCTCGTCGATCTCCCAGAAGATCGACGAACTAGTGTGTTCTTTGTTTTTCTTATATTTCGTACAATACTTTGTCTTTCACCAGTACTAATCATATTGGTTCCCTATTTAATCACTATTCATCTATCCTTAACCCTGTGATTAAGGATCCTTGGTGATATCTCATCAAAAATAATATGAGAAAAGAGAAATGTAAAATAGTTCGTGGTAACAATTGTGAAAGAAAATAAAAAAGAGATAATCAAGAATTCCTTGTGAATAATAACTTAATGCATCGAAGTCTAAGTATATTTGTATAAACAATATTCTTTTTTATATTTAAGTCTGAGTCCAAATTACTATTATTTTTTTAACATAGAATTTCAACGCGGCGAATCTACTACTTAGACTCAATACATTTCTTACCATGACAAAAAAATCCTAAACATAACCCAAATCCCATCCACCCGACCCACTTAATTGGGTTGGTGACCGTATTCACTTTGGCGTCCGTACAAGCGCTAGTTGCGCCAAGAATCGCGAACCAAAACCAATGAGACGGGCCAACGTTTCATCCCTACACAAAACAAACAAACACATCACTATAACCCCATCACATAGCATTAATGTAATGCACCAAATAGCAAAATTCCAATTAGATTAGAAGAAATATAAAAGGGGTGGTAGTGTATAAATATAGCATTTATTCGCTTCGCCTCAAAATTTAAGCATATAGTGTGTGTTTTCCCCTTAGCTCTCCTCAAAGAATATCTACCTTGACAAGATATACCATTTTCTTCCTACCTGATTTTCTCTCTCCTTCTCTCCTCTGTTCTTGCAGCACAGGAGAGAACAAACATATGAGGCTGGGATAGAACACACATAGATTATTACATGCCCTCAAATGTAATAACTATGAAATAAATCTCCAGAGCTTTCCATTTGATCCATTTTTTCCCCTAAATTATTAAGAATCCCTTTTCTGATTGCTCCTTCAATAATCCCATTTACACACACGAACACACACATATATATATACATACATATTTTCCTTTATTCCATGACCATGCAAGGTATGCTTGTGTACACATTCATACATAAAGATTTGATTTTTATTCGAATTTTCTTGCCAATCGCAGAAATTCTGCGTGACCCTTTTGTTTTCTGTCAATTCTACAGAGGAAAAACAGGATTCGACGGAAAATCCTGCCGGGGTGAAGCTACAGCCGGCGGCGGCGGAGGAGGAGAAAACAGGGGAAGATGAAGGAGAAGAAGAAGAAGCGTGCGAGAAAACAGGGGATGGGTCGTCTCCGAGGGGGGTCCTGGAGATCCCGATAACGGGCTCGAGTTCGGGCTCGGGATCAGACTCGGAGCAGGGCGTGGAGCGGAGCAGCAGCTTCGGGAGCGAGAAATCTGGCGGCGGCGGCGGCGCGTGGGAGGTGAGCTACGGGACCTTGCACTGGAAGAAGCTGTTCGGGCAGATCAAGAGGCGGTCAGCCATGAAATTCTCGACCATACCGTTGCTCGGAGGCTACGGATACGACCTGTCGAGGAAGGCGTTCCGGCGGAAGCTCCTTGGGAGGAACCGCAGCGCCGCCGATGCCATTGATTGCGGGGATTCCGTGGTGCCCAAGCCCTCATGGAGGAATTTCACCTACGAGGAACTCAAGCTGGCCACTGACAATTTTAGCCCTGGTAATATTGTTCAATTTTTATTTATTCATTTTATTTGCTCTATTTAGTTTTGACCTATTTTTTTCGGAAATAATTGTTTGTGTTTGTTTTATGGGTAATATGTTTTATTTTTTTTATTTTTTTTTTTCCCCTGCTGTTAGCATTAGGATTAGGATTATGTTGCACCATTACCTGAACTTTAAATTAGAGTTTCGTGTGGTTAGGGAAGTGATAATTAATCTAAAGTGATCATAATTATATGGTGAACAAGGCTCCTCACTAAGTAATTATAGTACAAATTAGATCGACTCCTATGATCCAACAGTAAAAAATTAGGTGAAGGCAGAGCCCACACTGGTAGGGTCGAATTTACCCCTCACTACAACTATTTATTTGACCAACACAAATTCTTACATGTGTTAGCCTAATTGTATGGGCAGATTGATACGTCATACATATCCTTAAAAATAAATTATAAATATTTATACTATGAAATATTTCATATTATATTTATGCTGATGTTATATTTGAATTATGACATTTTTATTCGAAATTATGAAAAATATAGGGGCGACTAACAATAGCTTTACTAATTTGTAAAACTGAATTAAGTGTTGTTTACAAAGAGGCTAGCAGATGTAGTACAGAATTATTGAGTTAATGAATACCTAACTAATACTATGTACAATAAAGTGTTATTGTTTTGCAATATCTAACTAATACTATGTACAACATGGGTGTTGAGTTAATAAATATATGTGTAAAGTTATTTATATCTAATACCAAACCTAACTCCATAGTAAAAATAATATAAAAACAATATCACGAACCATAGATTTTCGCTATGACAGCATTCGAAGCGTGATATTCTGCCACATAGACTAAACACGTTCTGAATTAATACGGAGGGAGGGATGTCAACTACTACCTCAGTCAGTCAATACAGGGCTTTCTTTCTCATTCATCACTATCACTCTTTTCGGACAGCATTAGCTTGCTGACCCTCTTCTTGTCTGACATTGCACAATTATTTATTTATATTGAAAATAATAATAATTGCTCAAATAATTAAAATAAATTAGGGGATAAGT